AAGCTGTGTGCGCTGGCCAGGGCCTGGGCCTAGGCTGGTGGCCTGTTCTGCTCCCTTTGCCTCCGGCTGCAGCTGCTGTTCCTGCTCCGCAGCTCTGGGCAGACACTAGAAACAGCCCCGCTGCAGCAACACTAGAAACAGCCCTGCCAGAAGCTGCATTCTGGTTGGGGCGCAGGCTGGTGAGCACTGGTGGGAATGTGGCACGGGCTGCCCAGCAGCACTAGGTGTGGCTCTGCTCCACGTGGAGCACCGTGGGGCAGCCACAGGCCAGACCCAGTCAGTTGGCAGGTTGTATTGTGCCCACTCCTACCCTAGCAGGAACCTCCCAGAAAGAGCACTGGCACTCCCCAGTCAAAATCCCCAGCCCTGGGTGGAGCCAATACTCAATGCTTCTGAGAAAGGTGGAAGAAAAAAAAAAAAAAAATCGCACCAATCCTTGATCGCCCTCCTTCCACTCTCCCCAGCCCCCTGAAAGGCTGGAATTGTGCCAGCCTGCAGAGAGCTCTCTGCAGAAGTGCAAAATCTATGCGTTTCTCTGTTAAAATGAAAAATCCGCATTTTTCTCGGGTAAAAGGGGAAAATCCATGTTTTTTTCCTTTGGGAAGTGGAAAACCCAGATCCCTGGTTATTACATATTTTCAAGCTCTGACTATAATTGAATGGACCTTTTATGACATGATGGTTAATCTGCACTTGCACCCAGTCTAAATTAACTGCACAATGAACCAGTTTATCACGTAATGCATTTAACCTGCAGAGGGGGCCTATGGGACTTCTATTAATTTAAAACACAGCAATTGCAAAAAATTCTAAGACAGTCTATGTTTGAGTTTGGAACATTTATTTTTTCATATTGCCTTCGGGATGGGAAGCCATTGAATTTTTGGGCCACACTGGTTAGCACTCTAAAACAGCGATTTTACTTTAGAAAAAGGATATTAATACTTGGAAAGCTTGAGTTTTGCCTTTCAAAATATCACTCAAAATGCCCAGCTTTTAGATTGGTCATTCTGCAAAAAAAATTTGCAAAAAAATAATTAAATCTCAACTTTGGATTCTCCCTCACACAGTAGACTCCTGTGTTTCTTTTTATAACTGTATTACTGAAAGTACCATATTTTCCTAGCATAGCACATAACCCTAAGAAAGACGCACACTTCGTTTTCAGAAAGCAGAATGAAGATTTTTCCAGATATGGCTGAAAGCTGACTTCAGGGGATCCTGATTGTGGCAGTAGTGGCTGTGAGAGGATTAACACCATACCTGTGACCTTAAAAAGTAAACTTCACCACCCCTTCCTCCCTGAGGCTGGAAGAGGAAGAAGCACAGAAGATATTTTGCAGTAATGCATTTCTGCTTATAATCCTCCACCCTTCTATTTCAGCAAAGAACAAACAGCTTCCCCACTTAAGGCATGCACACCAATTTGGGAAGGCTAATTTTTTGAAGAAAGGTGTGTGTAGTAGGCAATTAAATTTGGGTACAGAGCTCACTCTAAGCACATAAGCACTGTAAAAACACCTCACTCTTGTAAGCATCCTGCCATTTTAACCAATCAGTATGCCATAACATGTACTGTACCCACCATACACGTCATATCTACCTGTCACAGAAACAATATTGAGTAATCTTCTCATCGTCTGAGGACTGATATCGCTGAACCAGTCTTCTGTGACCAGAAGCTTGGTCAGATCAAAAGACATCTGGCGAGTAATAGTACGCTGCATCTGTCGCCTTCTATAAGTATCCTGAATTTAAAAAGCAAAAATACTACTTAGCTTAATTAAATTTTATGTATTTAAATGACTTTTCACTTCAGGAACACAGGAGCATAGGACTGGAAGGGACTTCCTACACCACTGAGTCCAGACCGCTGCATTTGGAGGAAATCATTTAACCAAGGATCCCCCAAAATCATCACTTAAAGCCTCAAATGCAAAGCACAAAAACACTGTGAAAGCCACACAGCAGTGGGGGCCAACCTTTCTGGAAGACATACCACAAATTAGCCATGCATCCTCCACAAGTGTCACTCTGATCCCCTTCCTCTGCCCGATCAATCCTCAGCTTTGCTTTCTGCTCTCTACTTCATGCTCCCTGCCCAATCTGCTTGTTGACTTCCTGTAATATCTGATGCTGTGCTGCCTGTTCCCTCCTTGGTCTAGCCCATGCCACACACAAAGGCTGTGCACACCATTTGTGACACTTGTGCTATAGACTGGCCACCCCTGCACTATAGTATATCACGTGTAATAGCAAGGGAAATGAGGTTACTGTCAATGCCCTGTCACTGGAATGGCTGATCAGTAATTGGCTGCTATAGGTTTTATATTGCAAAAGTTTATTAAAAACTGTGAAAATATTTTAATAGAAAAGAAAACTCTACAACAATCAACGAGCTGACCCACATTAGCAAAGTATAGTGGATCAACATAGTATTTTGTAACAACACCATAATTTTTTTTTCTTATACTGTCTCTGCAAACAGCTAATACCTGCCACATCTGAAGAAAATCACTTCCTTTAATTTTTAAAATTAAGGCCAAAAGGAAAAAAATAGCCTTTAAAATAGGCATACTGTAAGGTTGTATACTTTTACTTCATGTAACAGAGAGGCACAAACCCTTCAGTACATAATCTCAAAGCGTCCACACGGAAACTGATATATAGAAAGCAGGAAAGAGATAGTAAAGGAGTTCCACGACACTAGAAGCTCATTTCTGCTTTTGTAGTTAAGGAGTGAAAGAGTTCCTTTATTCTACTGCATACAGGATTGAAGGACTGTGAATCACTATTACAGGAGCTGTTCATCTCTACTGCTCAGGGTAAGGATTACATTATTTCTCTTTGTCTAGTTGAGGAAATTACAGAAAAGAGCAAGCAGGCTGAATTATGCCTAAGTGAAGTTCAGCATCTATACTGTTCCCAACTGATTAGCTTGCAGGACTCCTCACCCCATGCAACACCAATCAAGAAGTGCTAGACAGTACCAGCAAATCTACAAAGTAAATATGAATGTAAATCCTATTTTCTTTAAAGACTGCCCTTCCTCTTGTGTCATTTTAAAGTTTGAGATTAGCTAAGCACTCCAAACAACCACCTCCTGGATTTAAGTGTTTTAGCAACTGAGTAAACTCAAACTGCCTTGACTTTTGGTAGAGCCAAAGTTCACTGATCTAAAAATCAGGCTCCCCTCTCCCCCACTTTGATTTGTTGTTTTGGAAGGATAGGCTTGAAAACTGTCTGAAGCTGACATTGTAATAAGTTTATTTTAAAGTGGTTAAACAAAAGAAAAGTAGGTATATTACAAGCACTTCCCCTTCTACTTTTTTCTCACCCGTCTATTGAGAGCAGTTTTGCTGCCAAGTTTGGTCATCTCTCCAAGGCTATTCTGAGAAACCCTTCTGTCAACTTCTTCATGAAATCCTAAAAGAAGGACATTTTCCTGTTAAAAATATGTATATCACTCTAGTATACATGTTTATTCCAACAAGTAAACGTATTTGTAATAAATAATGAAATATTTGCAAAAGATAGTTGCAAAATGCCACATTCTTACAAAGATTAAGAATGTGGTTTTGAGCTCATTTATTTTATGACCTGGCTATGTCTTTTGTACACCACAACCTTACCTGCATTATCTGAATATGGAACATCTCCATTGGTAGTTGCAGCAACCATCAGCTTTTTTGCACTACTGAGACCACGACTGTTAAGAAAAACAGGCAAATGGACTATATTTCTCATGTAATCATGTCCATTTATGTTTGAATCTCGTAGCACACTATTTAGATTCTGGTTAATTGCCTTTATAATGATGTGAGGGTCACTTGCAAAAATAGCAATAAATGGTCCTTTTGAAAACAGGACTCGTACCTGCAATAAGAAAAAAGTAGACTGTGAATTGTTGTTTCTGTGTACAGTTAAAATGTCTTTGCATTAACATTGTACACTAATTTTGTTCTGGTAAGTTCAGAAAACAAAGGATGTATGAACATGCTTTTTCTATATTACATCTAAGTAAGTATCAGAATATAAGCTATTTTAATGAGAAGTGGTTACATTATATGGTATCCAGAGAATAGTATGATATATACCCCAAATTTGGGTATACCTGATATACACCCAAAAATTGAAAGTTAATTCTTAACTTCTGAACACTTTTCATTTAAAATCTATTTAATTTATATATTCAATATATGAAAAGCAGGGGAAAAAATCCTTCTTTAACAGAAGGGGCTAGTGAAGATCATACCAATGTGATCTGCTGATTTTGAAAGACTACATTAACACTAACGTGTTTAGTCTTGCATCATTTCTAGGACTTGCTGATAAGCTAGTATAAACTGTTATAGCTTCTACCGGAGCTAGGACAACCTGTATCAACTAAGGAACAACCAGTGAAGGTAAGGTCATCTCTACAAAATTATCAGACTCACTGTGTCTAGCATCTGAAGAACTTTGTCCTGTTCGCAAGCATCCAATCCATCAATGATTACAACAAGCCTTGTCTGATTCTGAGTGAAGCTATCAATGGTTTTTGCCATTTTGGCCATCAGTTCCACTTCACATTTCAGAACCTATTAAAAATTTAAAACAAAGGAAGACTTTCAATAGAATGACCATAAACTAAGAAAAAGTGGCCAACTTCTGTTGTAATAAGCTTTTTATAAGTCATCTTTAACTAAGATTACTACCAAGGCCAATAAAACCATTAATTAAGCATGTTTAAGCACTGAAAAGGTAAGTCATATGCAACAGAATTGAAGGGAATTAAGCTAAATAACCCCTACAAAAGGAATACAAAGTTTCTTTTTTCTTGTGTTTTTTCTCCCAACTTAAGTAGGCTATCATATTCTAATGTTTTTTAATATTCAATTCTAAGATTTGTTTTAAGATATACTTTTTTTAAGACTATATTTTTTCAATTCTAAGACTTGTTCTAAGATATATTTTTTCAATATATCAATTCTAAGACTTGTTTTTAATATTCAATTGGAATGGAGCATTAGATGAAGAGTGTGGAGGTACAGCTCTTAATGGATATGATATTGTCTGTCACAGATTGTGAATAGGAAATTATTTACAACTATCGAAGCCTTGCAAGTGTGATAACTTTTGTAATTAAGGTTCTGTGTTTTTATTTAATCATAATTCTATTTGAGACTCCAGCTTTTACCACACTATACAGACCATTTAGATAATTTATTGTCCTGCATTTTGTCCTTCTACTACAAAGTAAAAATTGCAAACCAATAATGTATTCAGCCAATCAAGCTGGCTGATTAGACAGATCATATGTAGTTGCTGTAACTCTCAGAATAAAACTTGTCATAAAGTTTACCAGGCTTGGCTTGATAAAGCCTTGTTTTATAAGAATTGCAGTACCCTTTATGATTCATCACACCAAACTTACCTTCATAAACCCTTCACTTTTCAGCTTGTGAAGCTTGGAAGCAGCATTATGAAGACGCTTCCTCTGGGAATTCAAGACTGAATCTATTACTTGCCACCATGTACGACAGTTCAAAATAAAGGCCAAACCGACAACACATGCAACTGATATCAGTATAGCATTCACAGTCATGTTCTTTGGATCTATGTTAAAAATGGCCAGCAATGTGATCCCAGCGATAATGCAACTCAATATGAAGAGGAAGATAACAAAGGATGGGAGACAACAAGTTTTTTTCCATTTCTTTTTACCTATAAAACAAAAATATTTGAAGTTATCTATCTGTAAAATTTACGTTCAACTTGATACAAAATGTATTAACTTGAGCAGTTTGTGAGAGAATCAAGTTAAACAAAAATATATGCTTATATGCGATTAAGCCTGAACAATGACATACAAATCTGGAAAAATTCTTCCAACATAAGACGTATCCATCCTGATTTTCAGTTTCCTGTTTCTGTCGTCTCAAGAAATCCATATTGAATGTAGGTAATCTTTGTGAAACGTTTGATTGTCTCCACTTCACCCAAGAACTTTCTGCACTTGTCAAAGCCAGGAGAAGAACATTACAGTCATTAACCATGAGGTAATTAGGGCCTGGATAGCTAATTTCAAGTCAGTGGAGGGACAAGAAAGACTATTTTAGATACACCGTGCAAAAATAACCTGCAAGATTAATATCCAGCTTCATGAGGACTGAAATAGGGATTCAAGTAGAAGGTAACTCCCAAGTTCCAGATCTAAGTGTCAGGCAGGATGAAGCTGGCCACAGAGATGAAGAAAGGAAAAGGAGAGAAGGTACATGGAGAATACATGGAGAATATAACTGAACGGAGTAAGAACTGGGTTGCTTTAGCTGGCAGATAGGCAACCATAAAAAAAAATGCCTGAAAAAAAATCAGTTGTTTTTTCAGTTTTTCCAGAGATAGCAAGTGGGGAGTAGAGGGATAAATTTGAGTCAGACAAAAGATGGCAGCTGAATGTTTATTTGTGAATAAGATTACAGAGATGAAGCATAAATAGAAAAGAGAAAAAAACACCCAAGAACAGAACCTTTCAATATTTGAACCAAAAGCCTAAGGATGAGAAAATGGGCAAGATCCTCTGAAGGATAAGTTAAAGCAGCACTTGCGGCAGGAGAGAGACAGAGACAGAGACAGAGACAGAGACAGAGACAGAGACAGAGACAGAGACAGAGACAGAGACAGAGAGAACGGGTTACCATATTTACTCATATCCTACACCCACCTTATGTCCTGCTTTTCTGCCCAGAATAGAAACATGGAGACACTAAGGTGGCTACTGCTTCTTTTCCTTCCCCTTTGCCCCCTCGCTTCCCCCACCCCAAGCAGCCACATGAGGGGAAGGATGGAGTCTAGTCTTCAGCAGCAAATACAGTTTTAATCCTTTCATAGCTGAACTGGAAAAGGGACAGAGCCTAATCTTTAGCTCATTCCCTCTCCTTTTCCAGCTCAGGCAAAAGCAGTCAAATCAGGTACGAAAGGGTTAAAAGTGTAGTTTTTGCCTGAGCAGAAAGAGGAGGGGGAGTGGGCTGGAGATTAGGCTCTGTCCCTATTCCATGCAGTCATAACTCTAGAATTTTGTTTTCATTCTGCCTTCCCCAAAATAAGGTGTTTCTCTTATTTAGAGTTGTGTGGTATATTATAAAATACAGTACTAGGAAAGGACAAAGTCAAAGTAGTCAAGGGAGAAAGCATGTTAATTGTGTCAAAGTTGGCTAACAGGTCAAGAAGGATGAGGATAAAGTACAGGGTCTGAGTTTTGGGTTGGAAGAGGTCATTAGAGACTTTAGTGAGAACAATTTAACTTGCATACAAAGGACAGAAATCAGACTAATAAATGTCTAGGATAGAAACTATAGATAAACAACACCAGACAGCAATTTCTATGAGAGTGCTTGATTTGTCTAGCAATAAGAGAGAATGATAGTAGTTGGGGAAGCAAGTGAAGTCAAGGTTGGGTTCTTTCAGGATTAAAGATACTAAAGCATGCTTCTACCGTAATAAGAAAGAGCCATAGCAAAGCAGCAGCACATAAGAGTTTCCTCAATGCCTAGTAAGTTCATCAACTAGATGAAGAAAACTGGCTAAAGCTGAATTCAGACAAAATAGAAAAAATGTTTGCATTGGATTGAGAAGCATTCAGAGAAACATGTCTTCACAACATCCTATTCTGCTATGGATATATTCCCCTCTGCATGTTAAGTCAGTTACCAACTTTAAAGCCCTTTTACAATCCTCTTAGTTCCTGGACATTCAAATAGCTATTACTGAAAAAAGACCACCATCCTCCATCTGTGGGAGGTCGGAAATATCCACCCACTCTGAACGTCACCTTAGTGCCCTTTCCTCTGAACTTGTCAGAGGAGGGAGGTTAACTGCAAAGGAAAATAACTTAAGTTCAAGACAGACTGCTACCTGCATATATATAATTTTTGTTGATAACAATCCTTTAAAGAGTTCTTTTAAGAAACTACGAGTTGCCTGCACAATGTATGGAATAGAAAGATTATAAAAGGTGAAATAGTTCTAAAGGACTTTTCTCCCCACAGATAAATGGAAGTAGTCAGAGCATAAGTCTTTCATATGAATTCCTGTCACCTTTAACTTATAGTTTAGATAAAATATATACAGTGTGTGAAAAAACAGAACATTTTTTATGAGAGAGTAATAAAATGGAATAATCAGAAAGGTCATACAGGTAATAAATACCTTGTGTATCTTCTGTCTTGAACACTCGAAAAAGCCTTGTTGCTAAGAAACCAAATTCCCTTTCACATGCATCAGAAAGGGTAGCAATCATTTCAGCCAATGAAGTTTCTCCTCCTACGCTGGACAGTCTATTGTAGTCAGTAAACAGAAATCTGAAACACCAGGAAAAGAACATGTAATTTTAAATCAATTTTGGCTAGCAGAAATAAAAGCTTCCTGTGCCTCTTCAACTGAAGAATGCCGCTCAAAAGGGGCAAAACAATAACCCTGTAACCATTTAATTTAGGATTATTCACAGAAGATGTTTCACTGATGTTAGTGCTTTAATCTTTTTCCTCTGCTGCATCCTGTCTCCTTTCCAATCTTTCATTTGCTCTTATCACTCCTCCCATTTCTTATAATTTTCACATTTCAGTGTCTCGGATGAAGATATTACAAATATAATAGTTTAAAAGCAATTACTTTAAATTATTAACATGCAAGGTTCTCTCACATGTATGCAATATGAAAAGCATCAGTGTTTCAGCAGTTACATGCTCTATTAAAAAGGCACAGGAATAATAAAAAGTATGAAGTTCCTATATCACAAGAAAAATAAATACTAAAACATAAATCCAAACAGTCACAACCTAAATTCAAGGACTGTTCACTTTACTGGAGCAGACACAATGAGAGACTTTGCATACACTAATATTAGCCCCTCAGTATAATAAACTTTACCAGTAATCAGAATTACATCTTGTATCTTATACTACATTCAAATACATAGTACATATAAGAATGGGATGCTCTTTGAAAAAATAAAGTTAAAAAAAAATTCTGAAGAAAAAGCTAGTCATACTGTTGCATGTTTCAAGTGATGTCAATGTGATCGATTTTAAATGCTTTTACGCTTTTCCTAGTGACAGCATCAACTTCACACAAAAAATCTGACATTACACTGATTTTGTTACCTTGATTCCATGCCAGAACCAAATAGTTTTTAGAAAGAAAATAACTACACACGCTTAAATGTTCCTACTGTACGCAATATGACACCAATGTGAAAATGAATTATTTAGGAAAAAATCTCTAACCTAACAGGTAAAGCTTTAGTGGTTTGCTCCGGTAATTCTGGTGGGTTTACAAACATCAGTTTGAGAAGTAGCTCTAAGTATCCAATGTGTCTTGCCAATCTTGTACTCAACACCCATGCCCAGTTCCAGCTCTCTCCTTCTCTTTGGCCACCAAAATAAATCACAGCTGTATTAAAGAATATTAAAAAAAAATCAAGTTATACAAAATTAAACAGGTAAGACCTTAATACTTCTCAAAACTTACAGAGCTGTTGAAGCCAAGTAGCTATCTACAGCACATAGCATTGTTTTCTTCTGTCTAGTATCCAGATTTTTTTGTAAGCAGTTAATTCAGGCTTTACAAATATAAGTACAAGGTTACACTGAACAATGGATCCCTGGAGCAAATGAAAAGCAGCATTTAAGGGCTCTAAAGGTGACTCTATTCAGTCTTTGTTGGCAAACAGAGCACTAACTGTAATTTAAGCACCAAGACAAAGGTAAAGCAACAAACCACAGGTGGCTCTGGCCACAGACAGATGTTACAGTTCTACCAGGAGAACCACAGCTCTCCCAGTAGAAAACACAAGTGTACAGGCATTCACACAATTTCTCCCGGAACAAAACGACTTTTCCAGGAGAAAAACAACCCCTCTCTGACCTACTAGAGGTTGCTTCTGGTAAGGTTTTCCTGGGAGAATGAGCACCTTTAGGACTTCCCTGCCACCGCCTGACTCCTCCTGGGGACTGAGAGGAGTCAAACAGCAGGAAAATGCTACCCCACCTTCCAGTGAGCAGGACCACTCAGGTCTGAGAACGGAGGGTCGGGGGTGAACTAGAGAGAAGCTGCTGCTCATATCCTCTTGGTCCAGGGAGATACCAAGCAGTGGGGAAAGGCTCCCATGCCTTCCACAGACTAGGCTCACCCTGCCCCAGAAAAGATGTGGAAAGCAGCTGCTCCCACCCCTCACATAGACCTAGGGAGCAAGGGAAAGGAGGAACAGTGAATCAATGCTTTCCACATTGGAGTCCCTAGTGTGAAGAGGAATTCTGCTGAGCAGCTTAGGCACAAGCAAGGAACAGCTGCTGCTTGCTCCCTCCCTGGTCCTCAAACTGGAGTCCCCAGTCTAAGGAATGGCTGGGCAGAGGTTGCCAGGCTGTTCCTCCGCCTGGCTCCCAGAGACATGGAGCAGAGTAGAGGAGCAGCTGCTCATTGCTCCCTCCTAGTCCCCAGACCAGGGTCCCCAGGTTGGGGAAAGGGCAAGGGGCTTTGACCCTTTACTCCCTTCCCAGATCAGTCTAGGAGAAGGGCTCCCTTCCCGGATCAGTCTAAGAGGTTCTATGAGAAGCTGTCACTGCTTCCTGTCTCTTCCCCCAAAGCTTAAAATCTGTGCAGTCTACGTTTGAGGAAGCTGGGTTATAATAACGTTATTATTAAATTGTACCCAACTGTTATGATTCTAGAATAGTATATCCAGAACAGCGATTCAGTTAACTCAGAACTGTACCAATTATGATATCTGGTATGTATAACTGCCAATTTAGCACCCTTCCTTTCTAGGAAACATGCAAGTTATAATTCAATTCACTGATATGAATTAGTAAAGTAATACTGACTCATCATGTCAAGAGTTTTCATAAAAACATAAGTGCCATAATTGGTCAGACCACGGGTCCATCAAGCCCAGTATCCCATTGCTGACCGTGGCAAGTAGAAGATGCTTTAAGAGCAGGGGGTGCAGCCACTGGATCCAGCCTGGATGTGTGGGGATTTAGCAGCAGAAGGCTTTGGCTGAAGGTGCTCTCTCCATGCCACTTGAGGATGACTGTTGGCAGTGTCCTTCTGCTGATTTCTGACCCAGGATGCATCATGCCAGCCCACAGCCAAAAAAAGTTGCCTACCCCTGCTTTAGAGGCTAAGTATATGAATAAGCTATGTCTAAAGTGACTTATCTCTGATGTCCTCCCTGGTATCCAACAAAGATGTCAGAGGATGCATCCATGATTGTTCTATTAAAACTCACAGAACAATTCTCATTCACAGATTTTACATGACTGGATGGGCCTCAACTGAAAAGGTACGTGGTTTCATGCCAACAAGTTAGGGATCAGATTCACCAGTACATGAGGGCTGCTTCTTCCTATTTCATAGATGCAACTTTAAATGTAACTGTGATTATTGAACAGTATGTCATAACAACATATCAAGCTGTTCAAATCTAATTAGATACTTTCCTGTCATGGCATCACTACAAGGTAGAGTTAAAGTGTAAAGGGCAGAAACATACAAATCATTCAAATAACCTTAAAGTATTTAGGCTTTTTAAAGTTATATTGGCTTTTTGTAAAAAATTCTGGGTTTATAGTATACAGGACAGCTGTAACATTTTATTAATATTTTATTATTAAATTATTGATATATAAATTTTAGCACATTACGTTTTAAATTAGTTTAACCATTTTAAATATCACATTATTAACATTAGTAAATGTTAATACATTACAGTGAATTAAAATATTTTTAGTAAATTGGAATTTCCATATATGACCTTTATTTAGCAAACAGAATCCTATACTTTTAAAACTTTGCCAGTACCTGGATCATGAGAGCTTTTATTAAACATATTCTGATTCAGAATCAAAAGGACATAAATATAAATTATGGGAGCTGATTTAATGAATTTTTTCAGTTATTGTTTAGATCCACACTACTAAAGCGAAACGTGTTAATTTCTGTCCTTTCTATGCTTATTCCTTTTGATTTTTATTACCTCATCCAAAACAATTCAAAAGAAAATTTCAGTTTTAACTTTGTATTACACAGAGATTCTTCAGTTTTCTGAAGTACAGAATTTACTTATAAAAAGAGAAAAAATAATTCTAAAGAGAGACAAGTAAATGACTTACCAAAAAATATATATAGAACTGCTAACAAACTCAGTGCCACTGCTATTCCAAGCTTAGTGTCCACTGTGAAAGCAAGCAATAAACCCAGACCTCCACAGACCATGAGTGTAAGGAATACAATAAGCCAAGAGAACTGGAACAGAGGTTCAATCTGCTGTCCTGCAAAAGTTTTCATTTCATCTAGAAAAGAAAAGCATGTAGAGAAATAATATAAGTTTGCTAAACTTTAGAAGTCAGGAAAACCACCTATCTTAAAAAAAAACCTACCATACTGTTTATGTACAAATTACCCGAACACTTCCTGCCATGCCGATTACTCACAATAATAATCATTATTGTACCCTGAACCTTCTAAACTCTGGTGCCAAAAATTAAGGCTCCATCCAAACAGTCCTAAAGTCATTCTAGTTATAATAATGTCTAAACACAAATGATTGTTACAGATCTTCTGATTTTCAAAATGGACAGAAAGTTTCCTATCTGCCAAAACCATGCCATTAAGCAAAGCAAATCTCCTTCAACATATATTCATAGCATTATACCAAAAAAAAAATCATCTCACTCCTATCTAGGAAATTGTGTTATCACCCTGGTAATATCTACCATAGTATAAAATCATGTAAAGCAGAGGTGCTCAACCTCCAGCCCGCAGGCTAAATGAGGCCTGCAGAGCCATTGCATCTGGCCTGCAGGGCTCCCCAATTTTGATGGTGGTGGACTTGTGGCCAATAGTACAGCCACCCACCCCCGTTGCAAATGCCTAAGTCCTGTGAACCTGGTGGAAGCCATTCCCCACCCCCTTTCCCTGCAGGGCCAGGCTAAGCTCCCCCCGCCAACCTCACCAGCAAGACTGGGCTACACCTCCACACACACAAGGCTGGGCCACTCCCACTTCCCCATATGGAGCTAGGCCATGCCCCCTTTTCCCTGGGGGACTGAGTTAAGGTCCCTTCCCCGCCCTCCCCTCCAGAGGCCAGGTCACGTCCCTCACCCCCCAGAGGGGGCAAGTGAAGCCCCCTTTCCCCCTTGATGGGCCAGGCTCATGCCAGGCTGCCCATCCACCCACCGCAAGGACAGACAATGGCCGCCGCACTGGGCGCAGGCAATGGATCAGAACCACCATCCAGCTTGCAGACAGACCAAGCATAGCCCATCTGGCCCAGGTGTAGCATGAACTGAACTAACGTAGCTGATGTTAACATAGAGTATAACAGTAGCAAACTGTAACCATGTTAGTCTTGTTCTGTAAGTAACTTGAAAACTCCATTTTGTATTCTTTTGCAAAGTGAATGAATTCTGCATGCCCTTTATGTATGGGTTTATGTGAAAGGGTGAATGGTGAGAGAATGGCAGAGACAGGAAAAGAAGATTTAACTGTGTTTGTAAGCAACAAGGCACCAAATGTGTTAGTTACCAGTCAGTAAACTAATTAATAGATGGCTGAAGTATCCCTTTGAGGCCTAGGGCACAAAGGAGATAATGAGGAGCAGGCATGCACACATCCCGCCAGATGGGCAGCAAGGACACTCCAAGGCTGAGATACCAACTTTTACGACCAAACTGACCTCGGGCTGAGATAAGCAGAAGATGGATGAGGAACAAGTGCAAAAACAGAAATTGGGTATGGAAAAACCCCCAAGTGCAAAACAAAGGATGCCAATCCCCATAAAAGAGGACTCTGGAATATACCGGGTTGAGTGAGTCTCTCAACTGCTGCTTTCTTTGGAGCACAAACATGTCTGTTCACCCCGCTCCAGCCTGCTATCTGCATCTTCTCTCAATAGGCCTAGACCAGCCACCCAGTACTCCTATTGAACAACTGCTGCTGGTAACTATAATATTTGAATGGAATTGTTGTTTTGTGTTTGCATATGTCTGAGTGTAATGATGTGTAGGATGATTTGTGTGCGTCTGTATGAGTGGTGTGTCCGAACCTCTACATCTAATTCATGCAATCAATAAACACAGCATTTTGCCTTATCCCCCTTTGTAAGGTCTTGCTCTTGATTTGATAAATTGGTAATTCAAAATAACACATGGAGGAAAAAAGCTGAGCACCACTGATATAGAGTTAAGTATTTATGTCTGTTTTTCAATTCAGTTTCATTTAAACAAGAATTTCTTCAAAACGTATTTAGCAAGAGGTGTTAAGGTCATGATCTAGAAAGTGACTAGGGAACACAGCAAAGATGGAGAGTAGAGTTCTCTTAAAAAGGAATAGGTATTTCAGCCAACATTGTGCAATGCTTTGATTATGAATGAGGGAATTAAGTGAATGGATGTAGTTATTGTGAATTAATAAGTGATCAGAAATCTAGAAATTGCAAGAAAAATGATGCGAGATTCAGTGGTTGGGCAACAGAATAATTAATTAAATTATGTTACAGTAATATATCTTGGAAGATAGTATTTAAACTTTTTATGAGTTATATTAAAGAATTTCAGAAGATAGTTAAGAATTCAACCTGAAAATCTCAATGGGAAGCAGCAGTGAAACTCTTATATAGGCTGTCTACTTGCTTTACACATTCAATGTTACACAAGTTTTTAGGAACCTACTTAATTTGCAGTGTTGTGGATTTGGCAGAGCCGCAAAAATTCATGACTGTCCACAAAATCTACAAAATTAACAAAAATTGAATAAAAATAAAATGCCGGCTTCCCAATGGGAGCCAGTGGTCCTCGCTGCCAGGACAGGTAGGCACGGGCCAGGGTGTAGCATGATGCGCAGCAGACAAGATGGCAGTTGTCCCTTTGTCCCTCCTCCCCTCACTGAAGCCTTGTCATCAATCAGTGCCAAAGGGCAGGGCTGCTGTGAACGGGCCATGAAAACTCCTTTGCCTCACTGAAATTTAAGTAGATCACTACAAATCATACACGTATTAGAATGGGAAATGTGAATTAGTGGCCTTTACTCAAACAATGCTTTCAGCTTTGTTGTCGTCTCTAGACTCTAACAGCTTACATAAGGAAGCCCAGGATATGGTAAGGAAATCCAAGAAGACTCCAGGTGCAGACAGAAGTGACAATTTATCCCCAAACCAACAGTAAATTTCGGTTTGGTCTGGGATAATGCAGTAACTCAGAGCGCTCTGCAGAAATCCTTCTGAGTTATAGCTGGGAGCTCCACTTCTGTCTGTACCCTTAGAGCAGAGCTGTCCAACTGGCAACCCACAGGCGGACCATGAAACGTTAAGCTGTAGCCCCTGGGCTCTCACCCAGGTGTTGCTTTCCCCTCCCTCTCCTGGCTTCCGTTTTCTGCACCTGTCCCAGTAGTGTGGTAGGAGTTGAGGATGATTCTAGGACCGTGTGGGCACAGAGTGCAGAAGGCAGGTCATGGGAACATAGCGCGGTGGGGAAAGGTGGGGGGGGAGGGGGGCAGAAGAGGGGGAGCTACACCACTACATGCTGCAGCTGGAGATGCCCATGTGGTTTGTAACCAGAGGTCTGTGCCCTTTGCTGGTCCAGCCTGCACAGTATGCAAGCCCTACTCCTCTGCGCTTTGGGCAGTGTGGCCTCTGGCTGCTTAGAAACTGGACAGGCCTGACTTAGGATATGAACAAATGTAACACTTAAACCGGAAGTAGACAGATATACT